TTGGGTTAGACCCAACAAGAGTCTTCAGAGCATCAATATCAATTCTAACATGTCGGTCCCTGCCATCACAGTTTTTAAGGCTAAAGTCACCTGAACGAAATTTGCTGAACCATCGTTGACACTTACCAACGTTCAAAACATTTCCATAAACTTCTTTGATATAATTTGTTGCTACAGAGGCGTTGTTTCCCTTCTTGTATTCAAACGGCATTATATGCCGAATGTGTGTGTGTCTCGTCGTGTGCCATCATTATAAGGGATTAGAGTATACTAAACTTTACACATTTTATAGGCTACACTAACGTGACATTTAGACGGTTCGTTTAACTATTATAGGTGACGTACGTCTTTTTTTTGGGCGGGGGGGGGGGTAATGAAAGTGTTCCAAAAAGCGACATTAATTTCTTGACGACCTAATACTAATACACCTACCCATAGTAGACGTACACCGATATCCTAACTATCTCGTGTTTTCCTCATTTTAAATGCTAACTTTACACGCCACCTGCCTGTAGTAAACGTAAACTAATATACTAACTTGCCCGCGTTTTATTCATATTTCAATATTACTTTACTGGCCACCTGTGTGTAGTAGATGTACACTAATATAGTAACTTGCCCACATTTTATTCATATTTCAATACCACTTTACATGCCTTCTGCCGGTACACTAGACGTACGCTAATATACTAATTTGCTTGTTTTTGTTCATATTTCTAGGCCATCTGCCGGTACTAGACCTGTACTAACTTACCTGTTTTTGTTCATATTTTAATGCCAGTTTTAGACGAGCAAGAGTTAATTTTTCTCTATCTTCATCATCATCATCTTCGTCGTCGGAGTTAGATTGTTTGTTGAGGACAGCGATAACTTCCTCTGTGCTCCTACAGAGATCCAGGAGGTCGCACGAATAGCGTTTACATTGATTACTCAGTTCCAGGTAGATATCTTTAAATTCGTTTTCCCGCATAGCTAGGTGTCCAAGCTCCCATGACAGCTTGACATATAAGAAACAATTACGAAAATAATTAGTACCATCTTGTTTTGTGATTAAATAGAACAGTTGTACATTTCTGTATGGCCACGAAAATTAATGTTACTGTGTAGATGTCACGGTGATGTTGAAAATTTGTTTGTTGTTCTATTCCACTCCTCTCTCTATTTCTTTGTTGTGTATTTTCAGACTTAGCCAGATATAGAATTGAGCCCTTTTAACTTAACGAAACGTGGCAGATATTGTGAAGGATCAAAATGGAAGGATAGCCCATAAATGAAACACAGGTTCAGATGATAAAAAAACAAACTTGAATTTATTTACTGTAAAAATACCTTACGTGAGGCATTTTTAAAGGGGAGCACTGAGGGACAAGTCTCTTCATATCCCATTGTTGTAACGTTATTTTGAAAACGGGTTCTTTTATATTATCTATCGAAAATAATGTCCAGTCACGTTAACAATAAAAAAAAACTAGTTTTATTTCCTCCTTAACATTGATTTACATAGTTTATCATTTTTTAACTTGGTGTAGGCCTATATCTACAGCCACACTATCTGCACTACACTAGGTTAAAAAACAAATACGAGCCACTTTGTGTGGGGGTGGGGACTGTACAAAGTAACTAAATATACCGATAGCTAAAATAGATCCAAAAACGCACTGAATGATTCAGTCTCCCAGCTAGAAAACACTGTAATGTTATCTAGCTAATTGACTGGCTCATCCGTATTTATTCTATAATACTTGTTCTGGATATTTTGCAAACCTTTAAGTTTTCGTGACGTTAATTTAGAATATCATTAGCTTAATCTCACGCACTATGATCTTAACTTCATGCGCCCTCTAGACAACATTTAATGTATTAATATTAAAATACAGCTTATAACACAATCATTCGCCATATTTTATCACTCATGGTACGCATACATTTGCTTAATTAAGCAAGCCAAATTCACCGTGAGGTAGATTTTCACTCGAATGGTAACAGCCGTTGCTAAGTAAACTATATTTCCAGGTTCTAGAAATCAATACTTGTCTGGTACTGGTAGAGCTCGAGAGCGTTGAGAAGCAAGTTGGACCTTTGTCAGGCACCATCGGAATGACAGTTGGTCGTGAAAACCTAATCGTGACCTCGAAAAAATGACAGAGAATATGATAATATTTTTGTAAGAAAAAAGGTTGTTACATATCCAAAACAGGATATTTCTAATAAATAAGCTTGGAATAATTATTTCTTAATATTTGAAATTTAGTGAATTCGGGACGATAGCTGTTTGAAATTCGTATATTATTATTTCTAAAACTATAAGTATTGTTGCGTCATCGAGATCACGTGACAATTCTCACGCTCTCTTGTTTCTAGAACTATCATTGTACTTTGGCGAATGTTCTACTTCTTGCTAGAAATGGTTACGCTGGTATATAAAAGATGGGA